AATTACTTATAGCAATTAAAATGTACCTGGAAAGACTGTCGCTTCTCTGACATCGACGGAATTGTAGTGAAGGCCATGTTCATTAAAACTACATAAAAGTAGATGTTGTTAACGGAAACACATTGTAAAACTGATATCTTACTTTACATGGATTATATAGTTATAACGTGCATCTGTTTCTACCTTAAAAAAAATCTTACTTTATTACAAGAAAGCCTCAGGTTTACAGTTGATTAATTTGAAATATTTTGCTAACTTCTCTCATGATTACATCCTATCTGTCGTCCTCTTGTATAAAAGTATACTGAAGTGTTTGCCGGAAAATAATCATCTGATATCTGATATATAGTGTATTTAGAACGTATTCATTTTACGTACAGGATGAAATTATGTATTTTCCTAATTTTTGTGTAATAGACATGTTCAATGTGTTCTCTTTTCCAACAAATGATCGTACATTGAAATCGTTAATATAAACTTTATATCATTCCTATCTACAATACATTACCTATGTAACACACAAAGAACAAGAAGTAGACCGGGATTCAGAAACAAGTGCTGTCCACTTATATATATCCCTTCTCCAATGTATATATATATATCCCTTCTCCAAATATACAAAACCCTTCTCCAATGTATATATATATATCCCTTCTCCAAATATATAAAACCCTTCTCCAATGTATATATATATATATATAACCTATTAGAAGCTGCAACATTACCCCCATTTTAAAATAGTAGACGGTATTAAAAAAGCCAAGGAACTAAACAGGACAAAATTGTTACAAGAGAAAAGGAAAATGATAATTCACTCATTATTCCGTTCGTATCTACAAATATTCCAAGTAACAAAAACTGGAGTAGAACAATAAACAATTTAAAACTGAAACAGGATGAACAGACAAAAATATATTAGCCGATGCCAAATTCATGAATAGTAAGAGACAACCAATACATTTAAAGTGGACCTTGTGCAAATCAAAGTATGAAGAACAACAGGAATACAAAGTCACAAAGTGTAAAAATCCACGCTCTGGTACATGTGACTAAATGATGGAAGGAAAATCATATAGTTTTGGAACAAAAGAGTTCACCGTAACTTGTGATATGACATGTTATACAAAAATGTTATTTATGTGATAACATGCCCAGGCTGTAAGGAATTTTACATCTAGTAATACATTACAAGCTCGAGTCTGTGTACATAAACAACATATAAATGTACCAGTTTCGCCAGATTAAATTAAGCGAACATTTAGATATATGCGGAAAGAAGAACTTTCTTATATTTCCATTTTATAAAGTTTGGTCAGACAGTCATATTGTTAGAAAAGAGAAGGAAAAATATTTCATAAAAACATTTAATCCCAAACTAAATAGCTTAACATAGACTTATCTTATTGTACATTTATTAACTCCCATATAAATATGACGTCACTATTGAGCGGCATTGTTCATGACGTCACAATTGTGTCTATGTACACAATGTAAAACATCTGAAGAAGAAATGAAAGCGCTTATGTTTTACAGCTCATCGTGTTTTCAAGTTTTTGAAGTTTTTAGATGTTTTCCGGACACGGAGAATTTACCATATTTTCACTATATATATATGTATATAAAGAAAATTGTAAAAAAAAACATACAAGAAAAAGTTAAGTTAGCATTTTGCATAACGTTTTCACAGCTTAGCTGTTCTTTTGTGCAATGTAACTATGCAAAGAATCTATGACGTCATGTGTATTGTCCACTTACTCGTGACTTCTAGCACACTAGACAGAACATCCTATTTTGTTTGGCACGCCGGATATGCACAATAATAGAAGAAGAGGACTTGAGGAAAAAAAGACTTGGGGAGTTGAAGCGGTTTTTAGCTGACCAGGATTACCCAACAGCGCTCATTGCACACGGTATCAGAAAGGCAATGGAGATCCCGCTATCAGAACTCCGTAAACCAAAGGAAAAGGAGAAAAAGACTATATTGCCGTTCGAAATGACGCACAACCCAAACAATCCACAAGTAGAAGGCAAGATAACACAAAAATGAACATCCTGGACAATTCAGACAAAATGAAAAAAAATAATCAAAAATGCGAAAATAACAAGCTACCGGCAACCCAAAAATTTGAAAAAGTACCTGACGCGTGCAGCATTCTCATCAACTGAAGAAACCCCAGCAGTTAGCGCATTTAAGGAACCAAGATGCGGTACATGTAAACACATTATACCAGGAGAATCTATCACGCTGAAAACTGGGAAAGTAAGGACGGTAAAATCCCGCATGGATTGCAAATCTAAAAAATGTTATTTATATAATCATTTGTCCAAAATGTGACAGCTTCTATGTGGGACAGACCGAGAACCTTCGTAAACGGGTAACATTGCACAGGGAACAGATCTCCCATGAACGGTACCGGCATCTCCCCATAAGTCGCCATATTGCAGAATGTAATAACAGATTCTTCAAAATATTCCCGCTATATGCATTTGCGAGAGACCAATCGTGTCAAAAGAGAAGCAAAGGAGAACGAAATTATCAAACTATTAAAGCCGGACTTGAACTGCATTTAATATGTGTATACAACCTAATTGATAATTTTATGTCCCTTTATCATCTATGACGTCACGAGTAAGTGGACAATACACATGACGTCATAGATTCTTTGCATAGTTACATTGCACTGAGGAGCAGCTATGCTGTGAAAACGCTATGCAAAATGCTAACTTAACTTTTTCTTGTGTGTGTTTGTGTTTTTTTAAAACAATTTTCTTTATATTATCACTTTGCGTATCGTCATTAGATATATATATATATAACCCTTCTCCAATGTATATATATATATATATATAAACATTCTCAAGTGTATACATATATATAACCCTTCTCCAATGTATATATATATAACCCTTCTCCAATGTATATATATATAATCATTCTCCAGTGTATATATATATAAAACCATTCTCCAATGTGTATATAAATAGTAAAACTTGAAACCCTTCTGATAAGTAAAGCATAGTCGCTTTTATATTAAGTCTACAGAGGCTGACCATCTAGTTTTGTTACCTTGGTAGGCCTACATAACTGACTACATGATAAAACCATATGACGTCATTGATAATGGCTTGGTTGTCTATTTTGACGTCATCTAAATTGGAGATCATTATGTATGTATGACTTTAATGTCTTTATGCACTTCAATTTCTTATTTGGCTGTACTGTATCTAACTCTAAATTATCAAAAGGTTCTATTCACTTGTGTCTTTTGTACAATAATTTAAACATGTTTTTATTTAGTTTATAAAAAAAGTCAATATCGTTTTGTTTTTGACTTTACCAAATAAAAGTTGTCCCGACTGTGACCACCACTTTGTTTGGATCTGAATTTTTTTAAAGTGGCTCAGATTTCAGCGATGTTTGAAGTAATCTCTTTCCATGAATCCTTACCATTGGCAGTAATTATTGTATTGGTGTTGGCGAATTTGAAAATTTCAAATATTTCGTTTTTAAAAACCGTTCATATATCTTGACGTTGATTGCTGTGATAGTAATGCTAACTGTATGGTAACTGTTGCTTCTTTAGAACAACACAAATGACGTTTTATTATTATAACTAAAAATCGTTTCAGCTACGCAGTGAACCTTGAACTAAACACCGTAATCTTATGTGTTGCTTCTTCTTATTTTAACTTATGACTTCTTCAACACATAATTACTGAAACTGATACGATGGCGCATGATCAATACAACATCATCAGCTCGATAGTTGACACGTACATGGTGAGATTCCCTCTTAAATACCATATCAAAGTTATCACACCGCCGTCAACAAACCGGTCACTAATAAAGCCATTGACAACGTTCATCCTGACTAAAATAGTTTCCATATATATGCGATAATATAGGTACGATGCACGTTGACGCGAAAACGAGTTTAAGGAAATGAAAGCATTTTAAATGGATAGAGAGCCCCTCGGCAGATATGTCACATTAAATAAATATCACCCAATACAGAGATCTCCACAGACGACAAGGTTTCATACCGTACCGGGTTTATTTCACCAACAGCAATTTTCTCTAAATTTATTCTAGGAAACTTACAAATGGTTCCATTAAAAAGCCGGAAAAAAAACCAGTTATAATCAAACTGATCTCCTAATCATAGAAGGAAAATGGCGAAAATGAGTCACAGGTAATAAGATTCGTTATACAGGTAATTTTGATGGAGCTGGTATTTGTTTCTCAATATAAATCTGTATTTTCACCAGGAGCCTTTAAATAAAACTAATCATCTTTACAAGTGATTTATTTCAAATTGTCATAGTAACCAAAACATCTAGAGCGAATGTGAGACTGTGGGGTTTCCGTCATCGGTGTGTATTATGTGGTACATACAATTAATTAAACTTCTTATCTTTAGGTGTTGACGCTGTGGTAGAATCAAAATAGAGCCATAATAATCAGTAGTTTGAAATCTGTCATTGCTAAAACTATCCTCAGCGTCAGAAAATTAAATATTTGTTAAGAAAACTCTAACGAAGCTAATTTAAAAATTAACCTTCATTAATGACCTGCACGTCACATTTCACTACAATGAAATAGTGTTACGGCTCAGAATGTACACATGTAATTTCTTAAACTTCTTTAATTTTGTGGCGGGTACACCTTTCCAACTAGTTTTTTGACATTTATTTCAACTAATTTTTATTTTCCTCACCCACCAACAAGCTTTTAAAGATTCAGGCTTAGTGACATCAATGACGACTCTTAGAAGAACGAAACAACATATGCCGTTTAATTAATTATTTTACTCTACTCTATCCATTTTTTAATTAACACTGAAATGTGCACTTGTACAATGCTCTGTTAAACATGAAATAAAGTAAGCTGTTATTCATGTAATATATCATGTTCTTAATGTGTATTTTCTTATATCAAATGCATGATTAAATCTGGTTAAAAGAATGATATAAGAGCTCTTCACATTTTCAGGAAAATCATGTTGGACCAGAACATAAGTATAATCAATGAGACGTCAGACATGCTCAACGGAAGTGGTTTTGTCAACAATTATACCAGTCATGAAGACGGGGGAAATACCGGGTTTTACTTTTATCTTTATGACATCACCTGGCCAATCTTAACGTTATTGGGGATGATTGGTAATAGCCTGGCATTTATAGTCCTGTACCAACTGTCCTCCACATCTTCATTCTATTTGTATCTCGCCTTTCTCGCCATCTCCGACTTCTCTTTCCTGATTGTCGGGGGGGTATTTCGTTGGTTGGAGATGACAGGAATGTATACGCCTTCTAAAAGTTTTGAGGAAATGTTGTGCTCCGTGTCGTTTGCCTTCACGCTGTTATTCTCGCAGTTGTCATCTTGGATCACAGTGGCTGTAACTGTCGATCGCTATATAGCTGTATGCCACCCCTTCGCTGTCAGTGTCTACTGTACACGAAAGAGAACGCTAATTTACGTCGGGACGGCCTTCCTGGTTCTCGCTGCTCTTAACTTACCAAACATTTGTCTACAATGGGATCACGAAACCTTGACCTGTGTTCTACCAGAATTTACACATGACTATTGTTTTAAGTTCAGAGGTTATATAGACATCCTTTCTTACGCTATTATTCCAATCCTCATCATCTGTATCCTCAATATTCTAATTATACGGGGCCTTTACAGTGCAGCTGGTCGAAGACGTTTTCTAACTTCCGGCAGCGAGAGCAGCGCGCCCCCTACAGTTGAAAGGAAGGATTCCATCTCGAAAACGGTCAGCATGTTGTTTTCAGTTACCGCGTGCTTCGTCCTTCTGTTCATCCCGTTCGTAGGCGTGTCTCTGCACGAGGTCGTTTATGGCTATGGGTGGGATTCCATTCCCGGCACGTTAGCAGATCTGTGCTCCTTCTTGAACCATTGTTTGAACTTCATACTGTATGGTCTATCGGGACAGCGTTTCCGAAAGAAGTTTATTGAAACATTGAACATGCGCCGTGTTTTTAGAGATTAAAGCACAGGCTCAGAACTGAAAGTCAACAAATTAAAGATGAAGACTCGGAAATGAACACTGACAATACCAAAACTTCAGTCAGTAAAGGATGAGAACGACACCATATCCATATGACATATCAGGACTGAGTAAATGATTGATATCTACGGCATATCGGTAGAAAAATCTTCTACATGAGATTTCTGTCATATCTGAGTAAATGTAGTGTGGGTATTATATACGCGCTATCGAAATATATTTATGTGTTAAGGTTAACACTGTCTGATATTATCAATAACTTGCTTCTATCTTGTTATGATGACCATCCTAATCCTGTTCCCAAAGACCATGAGAATGGTGTATCTATCCTAATCCCAGTCCCAAAGACCATGAGAATGGTGTATCTATCCTAATCCTGGTCCCAAAGACCATGAGAATGGTGTATTTATCCTAATCCCGGTCCCAAAGACCATGAGAATCGTGTATTTATCCTAATCCCAGTCCCAAAGACCATGAGAATGGTGTATTTATCCTAATCCCGGTCCCAAAGACCATGAGAATCGTGTATTTATCCTAATCTCAGTCCCAAAGACCATGAGAATGGTGTATTTATCCTAATCCTGTTCCCAAAGACCATGCGAATGGTGTATCTATCCTAATCCTGGTCCCAAAGACCATGCGAATGGTGTATCTATCCTAATCCCGGTCTCAAAGACCATGAGAATCGTGTATTTATCCTAATCCCGGTCCCAAAGACCATGAGAATGGTGTATTTATCCTAATCCTGGTCCCAAAGACCACGAGAATGGTGTATTTATCCTAATCCTGGTCCCAAAGACCACGAGAATGGTGTATTTATCCTAATCCTGTTCCCAAAGACCATGCGAATGGTGTATCTATCCTAATCCTGGTCCCAAAGACCATGCGAATGGTGTATCTATCCTAATCCTGGTCCCAAAGACCATGAGAATTGTGTATTTATCCTAATCCTGTTCCCAAAGACCACGAGAATCGTGTATTATGAGAATGGTGTATTTATCCTAATCCTGGTCCTAAAGTATTAATGAAACTCATCTTGTAATAGTCATAATTAAAATAAATGTTGATCTCCCTATAGTAGACAATAACCACTGACTCCATGACATAATAAACTCCTTTCACCTTACCTACAGAGATACCGTGAAGGACTGGACGACACACTCCTCACCATTTTACTGTCAGATACGTGCTTGTGCTCTTTCGCTGACGTCATCGATTTAGACCGTGACATTGGGATCACGAGTGAATTTGGTCATTGAGACTGAAATTCTCAAGAAATTTTAAAGAAAAATAACTTGTTCTGGCGAAGCTAACTACGACCTTTTAAACAATTTAGTAGACTCTACCGTGTGGACGGCTTCCTCTCCCGACGAAATCTGCCTCCTATTTACTACCCAGTTTCTAAAATCAGCTTAACTATGTATCGGACAAAAAAATCACTGTTCGACTGACAGACAAACTTGGTTTCATTAAAAACATTTAAAAATAGCAGTACGGACAAAAATAAATTTAGACGACAACGAAACCATGATAATGATTTAAAGAAAAGAAACAAGGAGTTATTCTACGTGAACATTAATCTACTAGATGATGTTACAGACATTAACCCTAGATAATTCTGGAAAACAGTTTGCGACCTAATTAGGACAACTTATACTACAAACAACATTCCATCTCTTAAAAAACAACCGTCTACATACATATAGGCAGCTACAATCTGCCAAAGTACAGATTGTTCAAAAATACCTTTCAACGACAAGGACTCATTTGGTCAGTATTTCAAGGTATACTCATATCTATTAAATCCTCATACACTTCATCATTTAGGTAGAGAAAATACTAATCCTGTTTAAAAGGCACATTGTGTATATCATGACTTAAATGTAAATTTATCCCCGTTCCTGTTCCCGTTTTATCTAGTGAACACGCCTCGTTCCTGTCCATGTTTTATCCAGTGAAAAGATCTAGTTCCTGTCCATGTTATATCTAGTGAAAACGCCTCGTTCCTGTCCATGTTTTATCTGGTGAAAACATCTCGTTCCTGTCCATGTTATATCTAGTGAAAACGCCCCGTTCCTGTCCATGTTTTATCTAGTGAAAACGCCTCGTTCCTGTCCATGTTTTATCTAGTGAAAACGCCCTGTTCCTGTCCATGTTTTATCTAGTTAAAACGCCTCGTTCCTGTTCATGTTTTATCTAGTGAAAACGCCCCGTCCCTGTCCATGTTTTATCTAGTGAAAACGCCTCGTTCCTGTCCATGTTTTATATAGTGGAAACGCCTCGTTCCTGTCTATGTTTTATCTAGTGAAAACGCCTCGTTCCTGTCCATGTTTTATCTAGTGAAAACGCCTCGTTCCTGTCCATGTTTTATATAGTGGAAACGCCTCGTTCCTGTCTATGTTTTATCTAGTGAAAACGCCCTGTTCCTGTCCATGTTTTATCTAGTGGAAACGCCTCGTTCCTGTCCCTGTTTTATCTAGTGAAAACGCCTCGTTCCTGTCCATGTTTTATCTAGTGAAAACGCCTCGTTCCTGTCCATGTTTTATCTAGTGAAATCGCCCTGTTCCTGTCCATGTTTTATCTAGTGAAAACACCCTGTTCCTGTCCATGTTTTATCTAGTGAAAACGTCTCGTTTCTGTCCCTGTTTTATCTAGTGAAAACGCCTCGTTCCTGTCCCTGTTTTATCTAGTGAAAACGCCTCGTTCTTGTCCATGTTATATCTAGTGAAAACGCCTCGTTCCTTTCCATGTTATATCTAGTGAAAACGCCTCGTTCCTTTCCATGTTTTATCTAGTGAAAACGCCTCGTTCCTGTTCATGTTTTATCTAGTGAAAACGCCCCGTTACTGTTCATGTTTTATCTAGTGAAAACGCCCCGATATTACGTGTTACAATTACATTTACAAACATTTTACGTGATATAGTTTGCAAAATTTGGTTTGTTTAGTATCTCAGAATGAAAAAAAGTCTCAAGTAATTCTATGGTTAAATTGTCAAATTATATTTTATTACTGTTGCGTATATATATAGATTTGAATGTATATATTATGTTGTTATTTATTTTCCATCTTACTGTATGTTCAATACCAATAATATAAAACCTTTTTGTATTATGCGAGATCTCAGTCCTAAGGTTTCATTACCACTAATACAAACCCTTTTTTATTTTGTGAGATCTCAACCCTAAGTTTTCAATACCAATAATATAAAACCTTTTTGTATTATGTGAGATCTCAACCCTAAGTTTTCATTACCACTAATACAAACCCTTTTTTATTTTGCGAGATCCCAACCCTAAGTTTTCAATACCAATAACATAAAACCTTTATGTATTATGTGAGATCTCAACCCTAAGTTTTCAATACCAATAAAATAAAACCTTTATGTATTATGTGAGACCTCAACCCTAAGTTTTCATTACCACTAAAACAAACCCTTTTTTATTTTGTGAGATCTCAACCCTAAGTTTTCAATACCAATAATATAAAACCTTTATGTATTATGTGAGACCTCAACCCTAAGTTTTCATTACCACTAAAACAAACCCTTTTTTATTTTGTGAGATCCACCCTAAGTTTTCAATACCAATGATATAGAACCTTTATGTATTATGTGAGATCTCAACCCTAAGTTTTCATTACCACTAATACAAACCTTTTTTATTTGTGAGATCTTCACCCTAAGTTTTCATTACCAATAATACAAAACCTTTATGTATTATGTAAGATCTCAACCCTAAGTTTTCATGTTGATCTCTTTAAAACTCATCAAGCATACTAATCTTGTAGTTATGCTTTTATGTACTGCACTTTGTGTTTTTTTTAATAAGAATTTCCATTTTACTGAGAATCTATCCATTCACTCACTCTTCGTTTATTAAAAACATGTTCAACCATGAAGCATGTTTCCTTCGTGCGTCGTTTCAATTTGATTATATTGTGGCGCCTCGAGGGATGGAATTATTTTTCATCAAATTTATTCTGAAACATGTTCTATATTCATTATTTGATTAAATTGGTTATGACATAAATACTTAATAAAGAAGTTTTTATTATCATTTAAGATAAACAAAAAATTACCAAAATGAATAGTTGAATTCCATTATTGTATAAACTGTCTTATTATTTAATTATTAAATTGATGTTGTATGAGATTTAATTATGTGTTGCTTTACTGGTTTAATGTATTAATGAAGTAGATTGTGACATCGCGATATATTGTATAACTATGTAAAAGATATATTTACAAAGAAACGCAAGGTAATATTATTCAACTGCATGGCCTAAAATGAAGTAAAACCGGTCAGACAAGAACCTTGGTCTTTATACACTTCAATCTACAGTTAGAAATTACCGCGCGACGTACATAATTATTTAACAATTTTGACAACACATCGCTTTCCTCTGTTTGGTTGTAATGCTGATCAGCTTTAAAAGCAACAAGAAGTGCTATGCAGTTTGGTGTGAATGTTTCCACCACATAAAACGCATTGTCCGTTGTCTGGAGAGACTGGAAAAGCTGCTTACTGACCCCAATAGGGTCGTCCGAAATTAACGGGGCCACACAATGTCAGGGCTATTTGTGCCGCCCATGTAAGCATTACAGTTATTACGTTACTAAGACGGTCTCTTTCATAAATATATCCAATCTTTTCCATACAGACGATACGACGTTAACGTTTGAATTTTTGAGATAGGTTTGGGGGTAGTCCGATTATGGTCGAGGAGGGATATGTCACGAAATTACGCCATCGTCGATTATAGAAGTCCTGCTTGAATCACTCATGACTTATCTGTCAAAATTGAGATTGGTTAATCATTGCCTTATATGATAATATTGGAATATACATTCAAATTAAATACATTAAATCAAATCAAGTTTTTACCATTTCTTTCACTTCAGATTTGTGTGTAGAAAGTTAATGTTTAGAAACACAGTGTATAGTAGTTGTTGTCGTTAGTTGGTCTTGTTGTTATATAAACATGTATATTTACTTCGTTAACTTTTAGGCGATTAGATATTCCGTGAAATGTATGTTGTAATGATATACAGTTTTGCGTGGTTAGATACATATTTACTTATTTTTGGTAGATTTTCAGATCTATGTGTTGTATTGATAGTGTAAATATAAGAAGTTTTGACTAGTTAAACTATAGTCAGTAAACGTCAAAAATTCATTAGTTTACTAGTGTAAACGTAGATTTATAGATTTATTGAGAATCTATAACATATTAAAGACGGTAAGTATGTCTTACCAGTGTTAACATATCTTTTTTTAAAGTTAAATTTATGAAAACATATATACCCTAAAAACTCGAAAAAATACGACTTCAAAAATCAGCTTATTCTGAAAATCAGGTCTCGTAAATACGATTTCTTAAAAATTAAAATTTTTTAAAGTAACAAAAATTTTGTTTGGTTTGTAGTGTTATGAACTTGAAAACATTACGACAACACGATATCGCCCTATATATTTTTGACGGCCTATCGACAAAGACCGTACATGCCTAAAACGTGACATCTTCCAATCTTCCATGATACTTCAACACTAAGCCACAGAGGATCGTTTACCATTTACTCAATGAAAAAAATATCTTGAATAAAAAATAAACCCAAGTTTGCTTACTAGAAAAAAAAGAGAGAGAGAAAAAAAAATAAAATAAAAAAACGCGTCTTATTTCGAGTCTCAAACGTGTGCATAGTTTTACTAGTGTAATTCAATGAAGTGTTACCGTTATAAAGATGTAAAAGCTAACTATCTTAAACATACTCGGTTTTACAAGTGTGAAGATTTTGTTTTGTTTGCTATTGTGATGCTTTGTTAAACTGGAATAAATATATTTCATCAATTCCTTGTATTGTTGTTTTTGTTCAAAATACAGGTTGAATATAAAGAAAAGTTAAGATTCTTTACTGAAAGATGGTCGGAGCCAGGTCCAAGGCTTCATCGAAGGACAACCAAGGACAATGGAATTCTGTCATCGTTAGTCCATTCTGGTGTAGGGGCATTGTATTTGGTTGGCAAATTCCTGGGATGAAGCCTAAAACGAATAACGAAAAGAAATTACCATTTAACATCATCAGGTACAAATTTTGTAAAAAGATTCAAACAAACCAAACATAAGAGAAATAGCTTAGACGTATACCCAAGGCCAGCAGGCCAGCCTTATTTAAATACTCAAACGATCGCTTCCAAAGAAATGGAGACTGAAAATCGATACATTTGGTTTCAAAGACAGCATCCATCAAAATTTCCGAAAGGAAACTACCTTGATATATACTCACGTTCAGCGGTCAACTTTGCAGCAAAACTCAGCGACATTTTGTGATAAACCGAAATGCATGGAATCATGATATATATAGTTATTAGCCTTCGTAGGTGAAGGTTAGACGAGCATGCTACAGGTAATGACCCATATTACATATCATGAGGCCAAATATGATAAAACATTCATAAAACTTTATGTGGTTAACCAATTACTTAGAGTCATGATATTTGGTTAAAATGTTTTGGAATAAAACAAAGCCTGCCAAAGTGTTCTAGATCTATACCCAACGTAACAGAGGTCAAAACTCTAACACAACGCCTTGTGGTTGAGTAAAGGGCATAGAATCATGATATTTGGGTGGTAAGATTTTTGGTTCAGGCCCAACAAATTCAACAACAAATATCCGTGACAATATGAAAGGATAAAGAGGCCAAAATATGTTAAAACGCTGACACGACTTCTTCTGAAGAACTAAGGATCATGATATTCGGCAAGCATGCCTCGTGGACAAATCTTAACACATGTTGCGAATTGAAAGGAGAAATTATTTTTCCCAATATTTAAAGTCACAGAGTTCAAAGCTGCTAAACTCCTTCACATTATCTGCTTAAGTATAATAATGAGATTCAGCATATTAGAGCTTTAATTTGATAACATGAAAAGAGACAGGCTTATATCAGTCAGGTACAAAGATATTTCTTGTAAAATAAAAGTCCTGCATTTGTTTGCCCGTTAGTAATGGCAAAAACCATGCAGGGTTACCGATTCAGTTTTACTAAGACAATTACACTGTACATATCACGTGAAATATTGATAATAACAACACTTTAAACAATGTAAATCCAGCGAGAGTTCCATTATCTATCATCAACCTATACATGTATCTCTTCTCCATGGGATGATGATGATGATGATGATGATGATGATGATGACGACGACGACGACGATGATGATGATGATGATAAGAAGGAGGAGGATGACGATGACATACCTTTTAATTAACATGATGGCTTTTTCTGTGTTCATTAATGGCTAACCCGAAATCCTTATCTCACTACGGGAGTTATATGCCCCAGATCACCACTTGATCCAGATATATTTCTATTAAATCCATTCCATGTTTAAATATGAACAACAAAATGTTCAGAGAAATATGAATGACTGTTTTTGGTTGTGTTTTTATTTGCTCTGCCTGACACCATACCTTTCCCTTATAGCGGGGTCTGAGACTCAAAGGAGATATCAAAGCCATGCTGAATTGTCTTTCAATGTAGATATTCAGGAAGATCATCATGATCTTATTGCCATCTTGTCATACTTCTTCCCACCTGAGTTTACGTCAGCTGATAGCGAAGCCGAATTGACTTTCAACGTATAGATTCTATTACCACCTGTATACTATGTAGGTCATTGCGAATTTCACGTTGGTCACTTGGCTGATGATGATGGTATTCTAACTGGTTGTTCGACATGTTTCAACTGTTACCAACCTTATGATATTTTTTACTTAATTACACTTGGATGCTTACCCAGAAATTGCATATTTTAGGATATATTAAAGAGAATACAGAAAATTAACGATAGTTTAAACATTTGTTAAGCTGACAATGGTTAGTTTAACGACCGAGAACAGACCGATAACAGGATAAGATATCCGTGTGTATTTATGTTATTTATCTAACGGGGTTTACGTCCATTATTACGGCCGTTCAGCGGACCAGATAGATAGCCGTATGACGATACCAGTGATAATATGGCGGCCGCTGTGACAATGGGCGATTTCTTTCAGTCGGAATGGTTTCGGAATACGGCAGGTAAAACAGGAATTGTTCTCTACTTTATTTGTGAGGGTAACTCACCCGGATGTTGAGTTGATTGTTTACAGGTTTAGAAAGCCAAAATAGGTCATGATATACGCAATTAAACCTTCGTTACAATCAAGCGACAATTAATAATATCTTGATTGCTGACCATTGACCCAATTAGTCTAGTATTATGAGTGACGTGTAAATACCTACTACCCCGTCCACTTACCCTAGTCGTGTTGTATTTACTGATCTAAGGGAGGCAACTACTATATAAAATCCTCCATTACTGTACGGAAGTTGTTGTGTAAGTGGCTGTATTTATCATTGTGTAAGTGGCTGTATTTATCATTGTGTAAGTGGCTGTATTTATTGTGTAAGTGGCTGTAGTTATCACTGTGTAAGTGGCTGTATTTATCATTGTGTAAGTGGCTGTATTTATCATTGAGTAAGTGGCTGTATTTGTCAATGTGTAAGTGACTGTATTTATCATTGTGTGAGTGGCTGTATTTATCATTGTGTAAGTGGCTAGAGTTATCATTGTGTAAGTGGCTGTATTAATCATTGTGTAAGTGGCTGAATTTATCATTGCGTAAGTGGCTGTATTTATCATTGTGTAAGTGGCTGTATTTATCATTTGTAAGTGGCTGTATTTATCATTGTGTAAGTGGCTGTATTTATCATTGTGCAAGTGGCTGTGTAAGTGGCTGTAGTTATCATTGTGTAAGTGACTGTATTTATCATTTGTAAGTGGCTGTATTTATCATTGTGTGAGTGGCTGTATTTATCATTGTGTAAGTAACTGTATTTATCATTGTGTAAGTGGCTGTTGTCATCACTGTGTAAGTGGCTGTATTTATCATTGTGTAAGTGGCTGTAGTTATCACTGTGTGAGTGGCTGTAGTTATCATTGTGTGAGTGGCTGTATTTATCATTGTGTAAGTGGCTGTATTTATCATTGTGTAAGTGGCTGTATTTATCATTGTGTAAGTGGCTGTATTTATCATTGTGTAAGTGGCTGTATTTATCATTGTGTAAGTGGCTGTATTAAGTATTAGTACTTGTAACACTTTATCTATAGACGTATCTGTCTCTTGCGAATTGTAAGAAGTTGTGTTAAGTATTTTATAAGTGCTGTTCCACTAAAAAGTTTTATATTTAGTCCTCAGCACAGTATTAGCGGTTGCTTACTTTGGCGCCGGGTTTCTATTCTTGATTCCGGATCTGACTGGAAAACCAAAATGGATGCTCAAGTTTAAGACTCAGCCACCACAGAACTTCAAGGTACTCTAGATTTGGAATTAATTAAAACTGGATATCATACATATCACCATATACAGTTTTATAATGATATAATAAACAGTCTCAGCAGGTCGGTTTACTTGACGGTGAAACTTAAGTCATGAATGTCATCATGTTTTCTTACATCTACAGGTAACTCGTGATGACGTCATCAAAGTACTTCGGCAGTTGACGATTAATTCTCTATTGATCCACCTGCCGTTTATGTTCTTGTACTATCACCTCCAAGTGTGGAGAGGCTGCGACCAGACTCTCAAAATTCCTTCGGTCATACCCTTCATTAGAGACCTAACCTTATGTGTGCTTCTAGAGGAAGTGACGTTCTACTACGCTCATCGGTAAGTCGAAATGTTAAGGGCGGTATATGGGGCTAACATATGGAGTTCAGGAAAACCAAAGATTAATGGAGGAGTTCATTGTGAGCTATGTTTTAGTTAGTAGGGTGGAGTGATGATGAAATGCAAGGTACTCTGGACAGTCGAACGGGTATAAGTGGCAAGAAGAGAATGGGCTGGGGATGTTTCATTGTCATTTCATGCAATTTTTATTCTTGACGATTGATATCAGTGTTTCTACTCCACATTCAATATACAAATGTGCGTGTATTTTAGAGCTACACCCGTTTTTATGATTCTAGAATTCTCCACACCCCATTCATGTACAAAAGATATCACAAGTTACACCATGATTTTACGGCCCCATTTGGCCTCGTTTCCGCATACTCGCATCCGGTTGAGTTCATCTTCTCCAACCTCGGCACAATAATGACGGGTCCCCTGGTGGTCGGATGTGATGTAGTAACTTCCGGTGTGTGGTTCTTCCTGTCCGTCGTTGTAACAGTTATACATCACAGTGGCTACCACCTGCCTTTATTACCCTCACCTGAATTTCACGACTACCATCATTTGAAGTGAGTTCCTTTGTATTTTTCGTTTTCTGTTTTGATTATTATTTTTCTTTAACTTGATTGAAAAAAGTTGATATGTAAACGCACGGTTTTTTTTTGTTTATCTATTGAACGGTGTTTAAAATTACACAAAACACAAACAGAACTTTCATAATGAAGTTATTTTTTATTGATTTGTTTTATACTGAAATATCCTACAGAAAATTTCTACAGAATTCCTACAGAATTTATCTTAAAATACCCGAAATGAATAAAAAAAAACATACAACACGTAGTTTCCAGGACCAAAGACAAATGATAATGATTTTGTTAGCTATCGACATTTTGGAATTTTTGAGTTAAACAATTAAAAAAGATATTCTAATATTTATCTATATATTCTAAATAGTTTTGTGTCAATAGACGAGCTAACAGATAACAAAATAACAACCAAAGTAATAAAAAAAAATTGCGTGTAAAATCATATCTGTCTAGATTCACGGCTCAGACAACACTCTTTTTTTTTTACCAATATTGATGATAAATTTTCAGCAGTATGTGGATTGTAATAACAATTTTATTGTCTAGGTTTACGGGTAATTACGGAGTCCTTGGAATCCTAGACTGGTTTCATGGAACGGACAAACACTTCCGGAAAAGTAAACAAAGCAGACGTCACAAAATGATTTTCTCTGCGGAGGAGCTAAGTGGTTGAAAAACTGTCTCGTCAGTGTGATGATGTGATTGTCTTTCTTGTTTTACATTAACTGTAACTGTACTGCAAAGTCTCAGAAATAGGCATTGATCTTAGTGTACATGAATACACCTACATGTGATATAAAATATATGTTGTTCTAAACCATGATCGCGTCAAAATCTATACATAATCAATATTTATATCTATAAGATTGGGTCGTGTAGCAACACACCCTCTTCCATCATTCCGGCTATTAAGCTATAGTATGCATCTGATTGAGTGCAACGAAGGGAACTAACTCTGATAGACAAATGTGTAGTTATGCAGATTCACATAGATATGTATGATATTATGTCGTCTCCCCCTCCTTATCCCGTAAATGGGACAAAGGTAAAGCTGTATTACTATTTACATTATCATATATGTGCACACATTTTATTTATCTTTTCAAAGCCTCGGTCCATGCCACTTTTGTTCAAAACTAAATGGAGCACAATGAGATTGTACATAAAGATTTTTTTTTTATAATTTCTCTTGTCTATATCTCATGACTCACTTCTATCAATTATATGTATGTACATTTGAAATGACTATTTTGAAGAAAAAATGAATTTCAAACATTTCGACTGCCACGGATCAAATGCTTTGGTACTGAATTGAAACGTTTACGAAGAATTCCAAAATGTACTGTAGTAAGGAAGATTGCTCGGGAATTGTTTATATTGGGAGATCTTTTCCATTGTAAGGCTTGATAACTCTAAGAGGTTAAAATTCTGAAATTCACCAGTTCACACTGTCGACCACTAATCTTAATTTTTCACGTATGCTTAAAACTAGTTACACTTTACATAACATGCCTGAGCGTACATAAAATCATTGACTTTGTAGTAACTTGTTTACAAAGCTACGGTGGTAATGGAGTAGGGATTATATTACAAACAACTGAAGGTGTTGCATTGGAAATCAACATTGTACAGGGAACTAGGTTAATAAACAATACCATCAGCATTGTTGTACTTTGTACGACTGAAAACCCTCTGAGGGGATCCGGTATTAAGATATATCCGACAGTAATACCAGATAGAACAAACGTTTGACCGGAAGTTTAAATGACTTCTGTGGCTGGCAAGGGTTATTTATAGCGATAAAGTTTGCAGGTAAGAGATAAAATACCCGTACATACCTTGTAACACAGCAGAATCCATTAGACTTGTGTAGTGCAATATCCTGTTATACGTATAATGCTTCGTGAAATTAAAGCTGGTATGAAGCAGGTTAATCATGCTCTGTTGTGTTGATGGCTACGCTGTTCTTATCAATTAGAACGAGAATGAAGCTTTTACCGTTTTATGTTAACGTCAAAACTGAACTGTGACGTAAGTTTAGGACAGCAGTTATTATTCCAAGGCCTTAAATAACTGTGAGCAGTGTATAGTATCAAATTGTAAAGTTTTAAATAATAAAGGATCCTTTTGTGAAGTAATGAAATGTAAAGAATGTATTAAACAAAGGGTAAAGTTTTCAACTGGACGTCCCTGATCTGCAGGAATACCTTTATTTTTAAAGCATGATTGATGTGTATACCAGACACCTAAACAGAGTGGCACGGCCAAACGGGAAACACAGTACAGATGAAATGTTGTAAACATATTTGTTCATTCGGCACCCCTTTAAACACATACGACGTTAATTTTTAATTACACACAAGGAACTAACAACCACAGGCGCTTGTCGTTTTGTAAAACAAATACTAAGAAATAACAAACAGTTGAAAACTCTAAGAATTTCTTTCTACCGAGATTTAAACAGATGGATGCTCTGAGAATTTCTTTCTACCGAGATTTAAACAGATGGATGCTCTGAGAATTTTCTTTGTAAAGAAGATTTAAACAGATGGATGCTCTGAGAATTTCTTTCTACCGAGATTTAAACAGATGGATGCTCTGAGAATTTCTTTCTACCGAGATTTAAACAGATGGATGCTCTGAGAATTTCTTTCTACCGAGATTTAAACAGATGGATGCTCTGAGAATTTCTTTCTACCGAGATTTAAACAGATGGATGCTCTGAGAATTTCTTTCTACCGAGATTTAAACAGATGGATGCTCTGAGAATTTTCTTTGTAAAGAAGATTTAAACAGATGGATGCTCTGAGAATTTCTTTCTACCGAGATTTAAACAGATGGATGCTCTGAGAATTTCTTTCTACCGAGATTTAAACAGATGGATGCTCTGAGAATTTCTTTCTACCGAGATTTAAACAGATGGATGCTCTGAGAATTTCTTTCTACCGAGATTTAAACAGATGGATGCTCTGAGAATTTCTTTCTACCGAGATTTAAACAGATGGATGCTCTGAGAATTTTCTTTGTAAAGAAGATTTTAGAGATTCTTAGAGATTTTCAAGGGTTTTGTTGCTATTTACGGCAATCACATGTGTTGGTAAACAAAACGCCATGACTGTATGGCTTGTGCAGACCCTTGTAGAAGAAAGGGGACATTAAAGAATGTTATGTCTCTTCACGCATAACATTAGTGGAAATCATTTAGATTCAGCAGTCTTACCTGATGTCGCGAACGCTGATCTAGAAATTACTTTAAATTCACCAATAATGTGTTATTAAGACACGGACTCTTCAGGTCACCTATATCGACTACCCAATCAACATGGATGCCATCCATAGATATTGAATTACAAAATAATAGCAAGGGATTTGAATTCACAATTAACTCTCTTCGCGTATTAGCACGAAAATAAATCCATCGCGAAATATAAGTGATTAACAGTATAACATAGAAAAGTAGTGAATAAGAATGACCACTTAAAGGAGGACTTTGAATTTTATTTATAAAGGCAAAAATCTTGTGGCTTCTATCATAACGTCAATGATAGATTGAAAAACACACAAATACATAGTAGTAATTGTAAAACACATAATATTGCTTTCTGAATTCCATATAGTATTTAAGCACGATTGTCGTCAGGTGTAGGAACAGATTCCGACAGTACCAACACTATCTGTGTAACTCTTCCTGTGACTGGTAATCTAATTCTAATCCATTATAATATTATAATCAAAGTACTGAAAGTACTGAAAGGCCAAATATTGAAAAATGTTCACAAATAACCGCAAAGCTATATCTTACCTACACTTTGGAATGCAAAAATTACTAAAATAAGAGAACCAGAGGCTATTTTTCTTAATTTTTTAGCGATTTTATATCTTCTTTAATTCTAATTTCAAATTTGACGACAATAATGTGAACATATAAAATAGGTAAAAAAATAACAAAATACACACAACCATATATTCATCGCCAACAAGCCAAATGATCAATAGCTCTATGATGAAGTTGACTAAATAAAACCTTTGAAATCCCCAAGATGTTGCAATTACTATCCTATCAATATGATTGAATTATTTCAAATATATTGCAATAGTCTATAAAGACATAGGATTTGAATATATATACAAAATTTACAATATTTTCACTCTCTTCTCCAATGCATTAGATAATGTCACCATGACACGCTAAAGTTAATTGATAATTATAAACATGAATATTTTGGGGTTTTTTTATACGCGCTTTGTTTGAAGAAATATTTCAATTCAAGGAACTGATTAACAAACCTTGTATCAACCTTCATCAAATAAAACTAAAAGACAAAAAATATAAGTTATAACAGTAGCATCATGATCATAAGATTAAAAATATATTATTCATAAAACATGAGCGCCTAATGTACCTTGAATTTTTATTATCAAAAACTAAAAAGTGTCATGGCGGCAAAAAAGTGTCATGTGCGCGTCTAATTCGGTGACGTCTAATGAGGTAAAGTGATGTTACATATTAACACACAAAGGATTAAAACAAAACTGATGTTCTGTTTGTAAGTTTTGTTTATTTATAATTGTAAAACACATAATAGCTTGCACGTACAGTGTTCTGAATTCCATATATTGTTCAAAATTTATCAATAGTTCAACCACACTGTGCTTCTTTTTTCAAATATATAGTAATCGTATTGTTATTAAAAAAAGTAAACTAATTTTGGATGCTTTTAAAATAGCGATTTGAAAGATCGCGGCATTATTTACACTATCTGTGTAACTCTTCCTGTGACTGGTAATCTAATTCTAATCCATTATAATATTATAAAAATCACACAGTAGTTTGTTTGATTGTTGGCGGTCAAACACAGCTATTGCTGGTTTGTATCTTTTGTATGCGATTATTATGTTTCATATTAGTAGCAAAGAAGAACACGAATAAACGAACGTATCGACAAAATCAGAATTTAAATTGATAAAGACAGGTAAGATAAGTGGAAAAGAAGGCTTTCGGCAAAACGTCACAGAAGAAATTATTAGATGTTTCCGGAGAGCAGCACTTATTGTTCCGTTCTTCGCCTTGTAACTGAACTTTAATCCAAGGTCTGTCTTGTTCCCAAAATAAAAGTCAACGGAATCACCAGTCATACTAAAGTGCATCAAAAACTTCTTATCTTCAAGTTGAACAAGGAATGTTTCCAGTGAGATTATGATTGCTATCGTATGACTCGCTCGTGACCCTGGTGAATACTTTCCAGAATATACTAATTGTCAATAGAGATTCTCTTTAACGGGTTGGACGTAATATTAGTAATCCAAAATGTCTCGGGTTCGAATACTAGCGAAGACATTAATATGTATAATCAACTCTACTACAATATCGCCCATGTGCGGACATGATAATATGACATGTCCCATAAGCAGAGCTGTAACCATGGAAACTCGAGAACGAGATCTTTCCTGGAGGCGGGAGTATGTAATAGTAGCTATGTGTGTACTTTTTTTATATTCCGATGTTTTTCTATAATTCAAAAATGGTAGCTATGTTTCTTATATATAGGGTATATAAGTAATTTAAACGCATTCAATGTGAAATAAAAATACACGTAATTCTTAAATATCCAGAGTTATTTTCTTTTGAAAGTAGGAAGTTTTATGAAGCAGTCTAGAGCCTTACCTGTAATGATCTCCTATTGTTCTACCTTTCACACCTAGTCTCACTTGGCCAAAAAAATACCTTACCTGTATACCCCAAAAATCAAAATGTTGGCTAAGCGAGAAGACACCGTAACTGTGGTGAATTCTTGTCCACAATACACCGATCGGCTGTAGACATCTCAGTCCCTCGATCGGTTCAGCGTAAGACTAGTAAGCATTTTAATCAAAACACTCTTCGGTCAATAATCGTCAAAATCATACAGATTGATTTTCAATCTAATGACTATGTGTTACACATTTTAACACGAGAGTAAATAAAGAAATTTTGTGTCTGATGGAAGGAATATATGTTTATCAGAAAATAAAGACTTACATTTGATGGAAGCAGGGGACACGTCTAGATACCTAAATACTTGTCATGTTGGTCTTTATTATTATTTATCTGATTACAGAGGTGTAACTTTAAAGGAGAGGACGAAAATATTGCTATGCCGTGTATATATAAAAAATACATTTCATCCTTTTCATTCTATAATAAATTTTCCAGGAAATATAATTACATACATCTGTACAGTATAAAATACAACATACTTAATTACAACTCATTATGTGTATCTCATGAAAAAAGAAATTCACCAATATTTAGTTCGATATAATATCAAACACAACAATAGAATAACAATTCCATGAGTGAAAGAATATATCACATCTATAGCACATGTATCGAGAATGGGATTCATATGCTTTAAATGAGTTTTTAAATAAAAGAAGCAATTTCATGGAACAATGTTTTGTCAACTGTTTTTATCATTGGGTGTGAACAATTAACAGGTACAAAGCTATGAACCATTAGATATGAGGATTTTCTATAACAAAATTAAAAAATCAATCACTGTTAATATTTAAGGCACAGTTGTATATAATGAAATTACACTTTTTCTAAAATATGTTTCCTTATAAGGTTTTACTAATGTTACGATAATTTGGAGTTCAGAAATACAGTATAGGAAATCTTTGTACAATAATACATTATTTTAGACCTTTTGAGAAATCACTTTAAGTTTTAAATCTATATTGAAATAATGAATCCTTTAAACGAGTATGTTTTGTCAATTAATCAATGGAAAACTTGTTGAAAGGCTATATATTTGGTACACTCTACGGAAATGCTTACTGGGATCGTTACTGTTAGGTAATGTCCGGGGCTTGAATTCTCAATGATACAGGTACATCTAACCTTTCCTTTGGTTATATATACGATTGTCTTCTATACCAAATGTCCCTGTGTCATCATCAGCTTTTGACTTGTTATAAATGACACTACGAGACTTGTTTCTGACATTCTTGGATTAAGACATCAGATTGTGGAGCTCTAAGCTTTGTTTTGGTAGTATTATAGCAGGAAATGTATGAGACATATAGAAGTGAGATAAAGATCCCCCATATCTTATCATTACGTTATGTATAATGACAATGTACTATTGTACATATAAATAACTTGATCACTAATTGAAGGCGTAACTAATCTGAAAACACCCTTCCGTGTGAATGAAGGAGACTGCAAAGCAATTACATAACAATATGTTTTCTTTATCACCATAAGAATAAGCTATGTTTTCGGCAGGACCAATTATTGTGAGAGGAAAAAGTATTAAGAAAATAACTGGATTTCTTCCTCTCTAATCCAGTAAAGTTTCCAGCGGTTCGTTCAGCCAATAAGTGTTCATCATCCCCTTTCCCTATAAGTATAAAACAGCAATTGATAGCATAGTGATGATATTTCACTGTTTGTGCTCTTTACGGATAGTTATACACTACACAAATTGAATCAGTTTTCAGGCAAGTACATTGTAGTTTATAAAGGTATACACTGTACAAAAACTTAAGTCATATATCTACAATCACCACTAAACGTGTATAGCTCTATACCTTTCTATTGAGGATATAACGATTCACTCTTCAACCTCGATTTTGAGTTTTAGAATTATTTTTTAGCCTATATTATCTTTAATTCCATGCCGTATTGGTATCACTTCCTACCTGTAACTTGCCTCCCCAACTATGATATAGACGACACAACGTCATTATGATAAGACGTTACAGAAAACCCTACAATATACTGTAGAACAGGTGGGATTCTCGATGGCACAAAGCGACCAAACGTCAAGTCATTATTGTACGTCAGAAAAAAACGCAATAATGCCATGTGTTTTTTAAAATGCAGAAACAACTTTACACTATTCCTATCTTTTTGTCGATGTCAATGTACATTTTATCCTGAGGGGTGCAGAATACTAGTCCATGTCTTCATTTTGGTAATGTTGATTTGCTGTTTATCATCAATGGAGTGTGAACTATGACATATACATAATAGTTTATATACTTATATAGATTCATACATGTGTAGCAATTTCTTTCCCGCGTCTAGTCTTTTTTCTGATTATTTACTGTGTAGACTATATAACCGATAAGTAAGATATTACATATGTTTTGTTCTGTTTTGATAAGTGTTTTTGTTCTTTATTACAAATGATAAAAAAAATTAGTACCTGACATCTCTCTGTCTGCAAAGGATAACCACGCAATCAACGTTCATAAAACACGAAAAAGAAATCCGACTGGTTATCTAGTAATACGTCTCAGAATTAAACAAGCTCTTTAGCACTTTATTGACTGAATATCCGATATAATTATTACTCCAATCTTCTAAACAACTGTGATATAAGGCAGCCTTTGTGGGGAAGACATTTTGTCATTTCTTTGTGGCGGTTTTTTGTTAACCCCACATTGGCTTTTTATCATAACTACTGCAAAAATAATCTGTTCATTTTATGGATTATGTAACTGTAAGATATGTTTTTAATTTCATAAATAAATACAAAGTCACCCTGTCTGTAAGGGTGGCCTTTTTCATTCATATTCATTGTTGTGTCGTTTCTTGTCGTAGTGTACAGATACATAAAATACATTACCTTGACGTTGATTTCTCCCCGGTCTTCGATCCAGAACTTGTTGAATTTATCGAGGATCACCTTGGTGGGATTAGAGATATGGATCCGCAATGCTAGAAAAATATCAGAATATTAGAAAAAAGGAAAAAATACGATAATTAATGGAGGAGGACCGTAAGATCTCAGAAAACATTTATATTTAGCTGTATCTGTAACAGTTTGTTCGTACATTACATATATGTTTTGTCTGAATCTGAGCGAGATAGAGGTTGAACATTGAGGTGTTGGACGACTCCTCGCCTACCTTCTGACGTGGATTCCATCCGTGACGCTGTGTTCACCGTATCTCCAAATAAGCAGTATCGAGGCATGGTCAGGCCAACTACTCCGGCCACCACTGTACCTGGAGTGCCCAATACATAACACAAATCATTATCATTGTCCTAGATCATTTCTCAATTGATAGTTTTATGTTATTTCATAATTTTTTAAAGAGTTACATTTCAGCTCTGCAATGAGTATATTTTGAAATTTAATGTACAACTTGATACCCAAATCCATTCAATATGTTTGAATCAAATTTTCCTAACGAAAGAGTATGTCGAAAGCGCATTACTTCATTTCTTTTAAACCTCTAATCATCTTCATACCTGAATGTAATCCAATCCGAATTTTTAAGGTTTCTTCAGGGAGATGTCTAATTTTGAACCCAAGAACAGCTTGGCGGATCTCGCACGCCATACTGGCGATCTGTTCCGCGTGCTTGTCTCCGTTTCTTCTAGGCAGACCTGAAACTACCATGTATGCATCTCCAATCGTCTCTACCTGAAAGTCATGATAATTATTTCATTTAATTCATTCAATGTTGATTTAGATATATAGGGTATTTATTGATGCTTTACGTGGCTTCTTATAAAATGCTTTTGTACGAATTTTTAAAGTAAATATTCTTGAAAATTTTGGTAGTTGAAAACCGACAAATCAGAACACCGATTTCATTCCGACAGGGTTAGCTCACCCCAGTAAACATACTGTGAATGTTCGGCTATTAACATAGTCTTACCTTGTAGACGTCGAACTTGTCGATTATGGTATCGAATGCTGTGTACAGCTCATTAAGTAACGCTATAACCTACAACAATGAAAATCATTACTCTTAGTTATACACTGAACACGTAACCTGTCAGATCTCACAAAACATCAAGGATAGTTTTCTCCCTTATATGGCTGACGTAGGCTTTTTTCCGGGGCTTTTTAATGACTATATCTGATATTTTTGCCATCATTTGATAGAAGATGAACTTTGTAAATATTTTACAGTAACGTAATGTGATGTAATTTTCCGATGAATACAGACAAATTCTGAAAAATCTGCAAATTGATAAGTAGTTACTCGTCAACATCAAAGTGATTTTTTAACATCTAGAATCGGTGAATAATTTAATATCAATACTTACATTTTGTTAATCTTTGCCAGAAATACAGACCATGGAATTTATCAACTTTGGTACATATCTCGCGAAAAGGATCGTGATATATTTCATTCCATATCACATCGACACCCACGTCAGAAAGATCACCTGTTTGTCTTACCTCCAGTGGAGTGCTCATGGCAGAGATGGTTGTAAACCCTACAATATCGCTGAAGTATATCGTCACACACTTGTAGGTCTCTGGTAGTACTTGATTGCCAGCTTCCAATTGGTCAGCCACCGATCTGTCAATACAAAAAGGACAAATAGCACAAAAGTTCTTCCTTCGTGTCTTTAGATCTGGGAATTCGTTGTACAACAGAAATGGGAGGCCGTTTGAAACACGGATAGCTCCACGATTTCTTTCAGCTTTATAGTTGTGAGTACCAACAAATCATCTGAAACAGACTATTAAGTTTGAAAATAATAATATCACGAGTGCTACTGGTATCACAAAGGTGTATAACCAAATATTGATATACGTAATGTGTCATAGTTTTATAAGCCCACCCTCTTGTGACATCAAATATACTTATACCAACATGTACGTCACATCGGTACAACGTCACTATGTCATACAACGTCAATATGCCATACAACGTCTCTTTATCATACAACGTCACTATGTCATACAACGTCACGTCACATCGGTACAATGTCACTATGTCATACAACGTCACATCACATCGGTACAATGTCAATTCATCATACAACGTCACGTCACATCGGTACAATGTCACTTTATCATACAACGTCACGTCACATCGGTACAACGTCACTATGTCATACAACGTCACGTCACATCGGTACAACGTCACTTTATCATACAACGTCACGTCACATCGGTACAACGTCACTTTATCATACAACGTCACGTCACATCGGTACAACGTCACTATGTCATACAACGTCACGTCACATCGGTACAATGTCACTATGTCATACAACGTCACGTCACATCGGTACAACGTCACTATGTCATACAACGTCACGTCACATCGGTACAACGTCACTATGTCATACAACGTCACGTCACATCGGTACAACGTCACTATGTCATACAACGTCACTGTGTCATACAACGTCACGTCACATCGGTACAATGTCACTATGTCATACAACGTCACGTCACATCGGTACAATGTCACTTTATCATACAACGTCACGTCACATCGGTACAACGTCACTATGTCATACAACGTCACGTCACATCGGTACAATGTCACTATGTCATACAACGTCACGTCACATCGGTACAACGTCACTATGTCACACAACGTCACGTCACATCGGTACAATGTCACTTTATCATACATCGTCACGTCACATCGGTACAACGTCACTATGTCACACAACGTCACGTCACATCGGTACAATGTCACTTTATCATACAACGTCACGTCACATCGGTGCAATGTCACTATGTCATACAACGTCACGTCACATCGGTACAATGTGACTTTATCATACAACGTCACGTCACATCGGTACAATGTCACTTTATCATACAACGTCACGTCACATCGGTACAATGTCACTTTATCATACAACGTACGGTGGTAATAGCCTATGAAGAAGTTCCACTGCCTTTTTCTTCTCCTCTAGGTAGGCATTGGTCCGTTCCTGTACCAGACTCTCCAGGTTATTGGCGTACTGTTCCATTCTCTTCATCAAATTATCCATAATGTTGCCTTTTGTTCCCCTGAAATAGTTTTGAAGATTTAAAAAAAAGATTTGAATAGCGTTTGCTTTATTCGTCCACGATAAAACTTAACTTTAAATGCGTTCGATAGGTAAATATGAAATAAGTATCATGTACATATGTTATAAGTTAATATACGGAAGTCAATCAATAAGATCCGTTTAAACAATCTAACACACATTTTAGGGTAATCATTTCTGTTTGTTGTACGTACGAATTAATTTTCTTGAAGGAGGATGCAACAGTATCAAAGTTAGGTCTGTCTTCCGATTCCTCCGACCAACATGTCTGCATGAGGAAATGGAGCTCTTTGCTGCATGACGTCACAGGGACGATCGGACGGAAAGGAACGTTTTTGTCAGGATGTGATTGCACCTTTTTAATTATTTCTGCAGAATAAATGTCAATAACTATTAAAGAGACGTATTACCTAACAAAGGAAAATATTTAACGTTTTGATGGTAGATTCTGATCAATTGATGGAAATGATTATTCCAAACAAATATCGTTCAATGATGTTGTGATTTATGAAAGGTAACAGTGAACACAAACCCCAGTAGCTATGATTCCACAATACTGACGATACATAAATAACACAAAATAGCTCGGAGATCTATGTATCTATATCATCACAAGTCTTTTGATTTATTGATTGCACGTACCAATGAATGCTTATTTCTATAGGTGTAGTTAGTATCAGTCCCCACTTCGCACGTATATTGATGTTACGTACGTATGAAAGTTATGTTCTATGATATATGTAAGTGTCAGTCTCCACTTTGCACGCATACTGATGTTACGTACAATATGAATGCTTATTTTTGTATATTTTCAATTACCGGTTTCTATATCACACCTATATTGATGAAACGTACATATAATACAAAAAAAAAATCTCAAAAGCAATATTTAAAGAATGGTACTTTCTTCAGGAAAATTCGCCACATTCAGGCTTGTTTGTTATATAAACTGTCTTCATAGTTAGTGTCGACTGATATTGTGTAAACATCAGATAAAAAAAATATAATAAAAGATAAAAATGTACCATCTGTTGAATAGTCCATCTCATCAAATGGGCAGCCCCGTATTACTATTTCCTGTAGAATGATTCCGAAACTGTAGGTGTCACCTTTCTGATAGATTAATGGACTCTGTAGAATCCGATCGTGTGATCGGAGTATCTCGGGGGCTGTCCATAGCAACTCTGCAAGTGAAAATTTCATACAAATATCTTGCATGATCGTACCGAGGATTAAGTGTAGGAGACAGATTTTTTTCTATACGAAAACCAATCTCTTTTGATTTCCAATAAATGAGATAATGCATTTCTAATTTGTTATAATGTCTGCCTATGTCTGCCTAATTTGTTATAATGTCTGCCTAATTTGTTATAATGTCTGCCTATGTCTGCCTAATTTGTTATAATGTCTGCCTAATTTGTTATTGTTATCATAAACAAATAGAATATATCTAAACAGTTTAACAGTATCCAGTTAATCCGTATCCCTCTCCACAATGGACGTACTTTTCTATCTGTGCCATTATAGCTGATTAAATATGAATAATGTAGAAATTCTCTACTTACTATTTTGATTCGTCTCATTTGCTTTAATAGCTGCCAATCGTTCTATGTGGAAAACTGTCGGTATACCGAAGTCAGTCAGTTTTAGCATGAATCGACTATCTATCACACAGTTTGTACTGCTTAATCGTCCGTGGTACTTCAGAGCGCTGTTCTGAATATACTGCATACCCTGAAATGTGTTAAATAATTGATTAAGGAATGGTCATATGATTGAAGCAGATTGTGTAGAAAATGCATTGTCTTACCCCGCAGCAGATGTGTTTAAACTTTTCAAAGCTGTACCTGTACGTGATACCGGACACGGAAAACATCATCAGATATAATAAGGTCAACATTACCCTCGAGATGAAACTTCATACTTTATTCAGGTATCTAATGTTTCACTTTTACTCGCCTTTTAAGAATCATGCACCGATTCAAGTTTTTCGCTTTCTGCACCACTGGAACATGTCATGATAAAATTGAAGGTTCCATGTGCAACCAATTGTGGACAAGAAGAAAAGATAAGTTTGGTCCTCTGATGTACATCAAATCTCGATGTCGCGTTATTGCATATTGTAATGGTTTGAAGTTGGGTGTCGCTCCTGTGATTGGTCAGTTTTTCTCTTGGAACCAATCAAATTACTTCGCTTGTGCCTTTCATTTTTTCCATGACATTTTCCAGCGTTGCAAATAGCGAAAGTGATCTTAACCCTTGGTGTATCGATAATGAACTTACCCTAATGATGTCCCATATCAGGGAATATCGGAACGTCCAGTCAAGGTTGATGTCATCGTTCTCAATAATGTCCTGAAAACAAAAATTTTGATACATTCTTGTTTTATGAAAAGATTAATAACATGATTGCACAAGGATTTTTATTAATAAAAAATGTTATATGCAGAATTAGCAAAGCGTATTAACAACAATCTAATGTTTATTGTAAACGTGATATTTTTATACCTGTAGACTACCTCGTGGACAGTACTCCATTAAAATTGCACACTTTCTTGGCTCTATACACGCTCCGGTGAATCTAGCTAAGTTCTGATGATGCAGACTTTGAAGCTGAAGTACAGATCATGGCATTATGAGTTCGAATTTCAGCATATATCTCTACATACATTTACAATTGCAATCATAGTTCTAACGATACGTCATATAACAATTACCTCTATTGAAACCTAGGATGTTCACCACAACATATAAATTATCCCTAGTAGTTTTGTACAGTAGGGATACAATTACTTCACCTGTAAATGAGGTTTTCCTATTAATGAAATTGGTTTTGCTTTATTGGTGTTATTTTACATTTATCATACATTTACATTATTAAATACAATAACACAATGACATGTATTTAACAATAAGGACCACTTACCTGATGAAACTCCATTAGAACGCTACGAGTAAGGTCAATGCTGTAACATTTAAGGTTTCTAATGGCCACGATATTTCCCTTACAGTGCCCCACTGCAGTAAAGAGTTGTTGTTGGGCAATATCGTCGATCTGTTTGAAAACATTTCTGTCAATTAATGATGTAATGATACATTTAAACTTTGTCATGTTGAATTTATTAAAGAGCAACGATGCAGAACAGATATCAAAACGTCATTTAATTGCTTATTAAAAAGCCGATTAGAATGGCTGTAAGTAGACCTACACACATTATATAATTCCACAATTACTTCGTATGTACATATATTAGTTGGGATAACATGTTGAATCTTCAACTCTAAAACAATATCATCGTCTAAACATTTGATATTGTTCTGTATCGAAAAAACCGGAAAAATAATGAAACTTGATACTATAGTCCTAAACCTCCTTTCCAGCTACTCACAACATCAGTTATATAATCTGTTACATATTTATCAATACATAACGGATTTCAATAAAACAAACACAATTGATTAATAAAACAACTTCCGAAATCAATAGCGATATTTTACAAACTTTCATTTAAAAATTATTTTTTTTTTCGAAATGCTTTTGTTTAAATAATGTTTTTTAATTCGAGAGGTATTGGGCTATGAGAATCATATCCAAAAATTCTATGTTAACATGTTTATACCCCGAAATTAAACGATGACTTGTTAATTCCAATTTAAATAAATAGATATTCTCTTGTATCCTGGTATGATGTCATGAATATTTGTAAACGAGATTGTTTATCATAAAAAATAACAAAACCTTTGCACTTTCTTGTATTTTTTCTCTGTATTACTGTATAAAGTGCGTGAAAGACAAGCCGGTTCTTGGTTCAATTCTTACTTTTCCATCGGCTGCCAACATGGATATCCTAGACTTTGACAGGACTGAACCCCCTTGGTCATTTTTCGATATCTTTACATCATCCCATGGTATGAGCCACGTCTTTTTACCTATCTCAGAGTCAAACTTTAGTTTTCTGTAACACAGATATTCAAACGAAAAATTAATAAAACCAGTTTAATCAAGTATAAATATCTCAAACAGTAAAACTCATCGTGAATGTTGACTTTGTTACATAGTGTCATTTTTTTCAAAGTTGAAAAGGAATCAAACCTAGCAAATAGGAGACGACAAACAAGATATTTGTATGGTACAGTTAACATTTGATTGAGAATAAATGCATTTTTTTCATTAGTCTCAGTTACCTGTAGACGAAAAAAGTAATGACCGCCGCAACGAGGATGATGCATATAAAAGAGACAGCGAGGATAAGCGTTGAGTTGTTGTCTAAAAAAATAATACCAATAAACTTATCAAAATACCTCACATACAATGTTCTTCATAAGAAGGTGACAACATTTTAAGTCATTCCTTTCCCTTCTCAGAATATTTCAAGACAAAGAAACATTTTTTTCATATAAGAAACAGAGATGCTTTAAACGTGTAAATTCAAACATATGATAGATGCACATTTGTCTTGTACCATTTACAGATTGTGTCGCCATACCTTTAGGAATACACTTCTCCCCTACATAGCCACAGGCAGGTTCATCAAGAGGCAGTCCATTAGGCCAGTGGATATTCACCCCAGGTACTGGGACATACAGCAGACTCGATCCTATGAAAGTTCCCACAGACTACAACATAAACGTTGTAATCAACCTATCGCGCTAGGGTATTACTGCGAATGGTATCGGGTAATATATATATTGTGTAATAAATATCATATATACTTCCGCGACATGTTATTGTAGTACAAGATAAAAAAATCATAACCAACTTCTTGTATGAACATGATGTTCAATATTTTCATTTCAAATAGAAATTATTTGGCTGTTCGAAGAACCAATTTCGCATTGTGCATTTTTCTTGATGTTAAAATATGTACAAAAGACACATCAGTAAACATTGAATTTTAAAATTTAAATACGGCTGAGCTAAATAATGAATGAAACTGCATCACACAGATGTTTGTACTTCTGGGACTCCTCAAGAATGCTAAGAGCCTAAGTTCTGATAATGGAGACAAAGGAAGAAATAAAAAAAAAAATGATCGAAAGAAATGTCAAACTCAATAAATGTAGAGAAATGTATCCGGGAATAGCAGGCATTACTGTGTTCAGGTGGAACTCTGCCGGTCCGTAGCCTACCAGCATAACAAGCTCAACGTACCCGAAATGTCCTTGTGCTTGGATTTGTCATATCGAGAAAATCAAAGTCCGCTCTTCTATCACCGACCTCATCAATAGCCACCGTACCGGATATACCTGTTATATGAATCATGCGACACTTTTTAACACATGGAAAACTATAAGATGGATAAATGGAAATGTCTTGAAACGTTTCATAATTTGACGGTCTCGTAGTACATACATATATACTATTAGAAGTATACTACTGAATAGTCGTCAAGATTACACTGACCGATAGCTTCAGGGACACGTATTATTGATATCTTGTATTTTGGAAAGAGTCCGTGTAAATCTAAGTACATATTTTGCCTTGGTATACAACAACCTGTCAACATAATCATAATCCAAGCTCAAATTCAATAAATCTAGGGGGAAATATGTACAAAAGAAAGGTCTACATGGAGACTCCTGAAAAAGCACCAGGACAATAAGACCAGGTGCTCCGGAAGAGTATGCTTTATCAATCGACTTTGAATTTGAGATATAATTAGTTTAGTATATTTTTACACTTACCTGGATACGTGTTATTCCAGAGTTTTTGAGCAACTGCTAAACCGTCAGTTATATTCTGTCCATCAGCCAAGGTCCTGTTAAAGGCTTCGGATAAATACAGCACACCTTCATAGAAGGCTGTTACAAAATAATTCACCTGTTTAAAGAGAGGCAATGTGTAAGGTACAGGTATTTCTGGATGCAGCATAACAATACATATTTTCAGATATATAACATTTGGTACACTAAGATAATTTGTACTCTATATGGGTTATCCATATACAATAATGTAGTGGCTTATTTTACATTAGAATTCCCTGCTGTTTATAGAAGATGCAACGACGTGTAATACTTTTAAGAAGAGAAAATCAAATTTTTCAATTGTATTTTGATTCAAGCAATACTCAAAAATCAACGCACAATTTTGTTTTGAAGAGGATATCTAAGGACAGCGAATTATGTTCCTGGTGCTATAAAATCGAATATATATCTATCATGTTACATATATATTTATAGTAAACTTAATCGTTATGTTTGGATATTTCGAATTTTTAACTACTAAAACTTTGTACATGATGTTTATTGGTAATAATGAACAAATTGTAGTGACGTTATTTTGTAAAAGCCTGATATCAAACAAGATGTTTTATTATGAAATGCTAAAACTATTAATTAAAGTTAATTTCTTACTGTTTGTTCTCCGAAATCATAGTTATAATCGCGCAGTGCCCTCATTTTGACTTCGTCCGCAAAGGCGTTGTATTCAGTAGTGTTAGGCTGACTAAGTGTCAATATCAGAACAGATTCGTAAGCCTTGGTCACTCCTTCGTCCATGTAGTCACCTGGATATTGTAGCATAGGGTTGATGAGGAAAACACTATGTGATGAATGTAATTGTCCATCCGAGCAATGGGTATTGACCATCAGAAGTTATAGGAGATTGAATTTTATTTGAAGAAGGAAACGTTTATATTTAAACTTTTAAAAGAAGCTTGTAAACGTGATTATGATTGAGAAGAAACATAATTATCTAATTATGCGACAACTCTACATAATCAGGCAATTTTCTCGTGACTGGTAATGTACGGTTTACTTAACAGTAAATAGTATATACATGTAATTCAGAATTCTATGACATTTATCATAACTGTTATAACGATATATGTCAGATAGTCCACTATTTATCTCGTGAGGTCGCCTATGTGATATTATTACATATGTCAATAGTATAATATGTTTTGAAACATTGCTCATTAGCCAGTCAATTTTGGTGTCATATTATGGAAATTTTAGTACTATCAGGAGTTGAAAATATCAATAAAAACGACTTATAATTTAAATGTATTTTCATTTCATATAAGATAAAAACCTCATTTAAATTCCTATATAACATACGTATATATATGTATTTAAATGAGTTTTTATCTTATAGTAATCTCAATACTTTTTAATCTCATATGAAATGAAAATACATTTAAATTATGATATATATATAAGTCCTTATCATAGCGATACACAAAGTTAAATCGACAACTAATATTATACAATGTAACTTGAACCAATATTTCATTTCTCAGTCTATCACCATTTGGGATTACCCGAATAATCTATTCTGCTTTTCATTCCATAATTGAAAACCTATTAAAATTATGTGATTAAAGCAGGTTTTTAATATAGTCATAGAGCATGACAATAAGTAAGTATATTATCAGGAAGCTTTTAAATTAACAAAAATAAAATCCAAGACTTACCGCGTATGAATTCAGTGTAGTACCCAAGCCAGTCGCTAGGAAATAGTTCCATGGTAAGAAACACGTATCCTCCACTGGCCATCCCTAACTGGAAGGCACGGTACATGAATGTTCTCAGAAGTTCTGCGTCACAGAAAATCACCAAGACTGCAAAAGCATGTATCGTGCGTTTCTTAAATTGTATTGCATTTGTGAATTATGAAAAGTGGGGAGACTCGCGGTCCTTATCAAACTCATTTTTTCTGATATATATGTGTTTTGAAGATTTTCAGCGAAAGGTTGGTGTATTCTTTCGATTCTTGATTATATACTCTAAACCCAAATATTTCCCTGGGACTCGATTCTCATGATTTGTTTTCATTTACCTTACGGTTTTGTTCAAGTTCAAGTTACCTTACGGTTTTGTGGACACATTACTTCGTGGATAGATTGGCTCATTAAATTAAGAAATTAACGATTTTTCAAATTCAAACTCAAATTCTTCGACGGCGCCCGTCATGTAAATCTTGGTCAATCCTAGTATGTAATGTCATCTTCTCAAATAAGATCTATAACAACGAAATTAACAGGCAAACTAACGAGCATCAAACACGTCCAACTTCATGTCGCACAAAGAAGCAGAATATTTCTCAATGATATCTATGGCGAAGGTACTTCCCCATAATTTTCATCAACCGGCATCGTTTGAAACCCTGTATTACGAATTTGTATGTCAGCTAACGACTTCTTGCACGAAAATGGTGATAATGGGAACATATCCTGATTATCGAATCAAGCAAGCATTTCATATTATAGATTGGGGATGCAGGGATGTCGATATCCAGAAATGTAAATTTCACAATAGGGAAATAGAAATTATTGCATTCATCATAAAACTTGATGGAAAGCTGTAGATGTTAGTTTACGAAAACACCGAGATAAGTGGTTGATGTAGAAGAGGCTGTCATGTCCTTGATTCAATCTACTTATATTTATTTCAGCAGTTTATGGATATATAATCGGTGCTTACAATTTCCCACGGAAGCAATGGAATTACATACTCCAAGAGAAATAATGATTTTACAACAGATGCAGCAATATGCAAACCTCGCTATGTACTTAAATACGTGACAGTGTCAGTTTTTCATAAACATCAATACAAACTATTTACTATACAGGGCATGTCTATTCAAACCTTTATATTTTATTGGATAATTCCAAAGTACAGATTTATTACAAAATTGAACTTACACCTTGCTTCCTTGCTGGCTTCGATCAAAAGTGAACCTGGGTCAGCAAGCTTTGAGGCCTGAAACTGAAGGTCAAGTGGACGTGGGAAGGAAGCATCATTATGGAAATCTCGAACCAGGTTGCCGCCTGCAAGCTCGAAGAAGATGTAATCGACGTCGTATATGACGGCAATGTGTTGCCAACTGTACTCCCGCATCAAACCCATAATGGAAGCTGAAAAACAGAAACGGACAGTCTGATTTTTTTACTAATTATCTGGATATTCATTGAATAAGAGCACTTGCCGTGATGTATGTATTTAAAAAGGATTTCAGGGCGCTAAGATCACTATCTAGACAAAATATATTAGATTAGATAAGACTGTTTGTGTTTTTGGACGGTATGTGATAATGAATGTGAGCTTGTGTGTGTATGTGCCGTAGTGATGCCTGGAGTATGTAGGAGTGTGAGAGTGTGGGTGTGGTGAAGGAGATGTAGGACAGAGTCGGATTTCGAGAGTGTGGGGTGGTGAAGGAGCTGTAGGACAGAGTCGGATTTCGAGAGTGTGGGTGTGGTGAAGTAGATGTAGGACAGAGTCGGATTTCGAGAGTGTGGGTGTGGTGAAGTAGATGTAGGACAGAGTCAGATTTCGAGAGTGTGGGTGTGGTGAAGGAGATGTAGGACAGAGTCGGATTTCAAGAGTGTGGGTGTGGTGAAGGAGATGTAGGACAGAGTCGGATTTCGAGAGTGTGGGTGTGGTGAAGGAGATGTAGGACAGAGTCGGATTTCGAGAGTGTGGGTGTGGTGAAGGAGATGTAGGACAGAGTCGGATTTCGAGAGTGTGGGTGTGGTAAAGGAGATGTAGGACAGAGTCGGATTTCGAGAGTGTGGGTGTGGTGAAGTAGATGTAGGACAGAGTCGGATTTCGAGAGTGTGGGTGTGGTGAAGGAGATGTAGGACAGAGTCGGATTTCGAGAGTGTGGGTGTGGTGAAGGAGATGTAGGACAGAGTCGGATTTCGAGAGTGTGGGTGTGGTGAAGGAGCTGTAGGACAGAGTCGGATTTCGAGAGTGTGGGTGTGGTGAAGGAGATGTAGGACAGAGTCGGATTTCGAGAGTGTGGGTGTGGTGAAGGAGATGTAGGACAGAGTCGGGTTTCTGTAGATCGATATTATCCTTTACCTGCATAAATTATGATAATTTCTCTTCGCTGATTTGTGACTTTTCAAAGTCAGAAGAACCAGACATCATTAAGAATTTATCAAATATTAAGTTTCCCGTTTGATAGTCGACAGTAATGATGATGTGTGATTTCATGTGTGCGTGAAAATGAATTTTCTGTCGTCAGACAACAGTGAATAAAACGGTCATTAGAGAGATCAATAGAGAGATCAGAGGCTTAACTCTGATATACATCACAAATTGTAGTTAGTGTCTTTTGATAAACTCAAGTGATCTTAAAGTACTACACCACTTCGTCCAGATTTTGACTTTGGATTTTCCTCAGTCAACTCTTAGGTTTCAACTCTTAGGCCCTTAGCATCACTGACGAGTCCTAGTAGGACGAAATAGTTGTACAATGTAGCATCACTGACGAGTCCTAGAAGGACGAAACAGCTGTATGATATAGCATCACTGACGAGTCCTAGAAGGACGAAACAGCTGTATGATATAGCATCCCTGACGAGTCCTAGTAGGACGAAAGAGCTATAGGGTGCAGTTTAACTTATTGTTTGACTCTATTTTATCTCACTCTAAATTTGTATTAAAAGTTGCTATTAACTTACGTGTCTTTTGTACAATCTTATGACACAAACGAAGAAAAAACCCGGACGTTATTCAATGGCAATTGTATAACCCTGTCTTCACGGTACGGTTAGAACAATGTAATTATATATAATTAGTCTGTACCTGATGGATGTGTCTCAACTATACATATCTGGCTTAATTAGGACATTTATTTAGCTGTGCTTATATACATACTGAAAGGATAAAGAAACGCAGGGTAATATTTATTCCGATATTTCTCCAAATAAAGTGAAACTTTGTGGATTGAGTAATTAGGTCATATTACACCTTGTCATGTATCGAAAATTTAGTCACGGTACAGTGCGCAGCTCTGGTAAATGGAGGAAGGAAAAAACAAGAATCTCGTGCACCGTGTTGTTCTGGTCTCATGCAGCGTTGGTCAAGTCACTCTTCGTTAGTCTTTAAACAGACCAACTGCTTCCCTAAAATTAATTGAGAATTTGATTCGTTTTAAGAATGGCACGACTCACAGAAGTTCAGAGGGGTCAGGCCATTCAGATGCTGATGCAAGGACAGCTGCAAAATCAGGTTGCTAGGCACTTTGGTTTCCACCATAGAACATCTTGTAAGTCGTCTTCGGGAAACTGGGCGATTGGCCGATCGACCTAGGTCAGGACGTCCGCGCGTAATGTCACGATGTCAGGATCGCTATATCGTTGTCTCTCATGTGCGTAATCGGCGCCTTACTGCCGTTGAGAGTGCACTTAATGTTCGTGGAAATCATGGGCGTCCTATAAGTTACGAGAAGTTGGTGTAAGAGCACGTCGCCCCTACGCAGGTCCACACCTTACCCCTGCTCGACGTCAGCGTCGTATGGCCTGGTCGCTGCACATGCTCCACGACGGTTTCCACTGAGGCAGTGGAGACAAGTTTTCTTCACGGACGAATCTCGATTCTGTCTTTATCGATCTGACGGCCGTCAACGTGTCTGCCGACGTCGTGGCGAACGTTTTATGGACGCTTGCGTTGTAGAGAGGGATAGGATTGGGGCGGTTCAGTAATGGTGTGGGGAGGAATCTCACACGGGTTAAAATCACAATTGGTTGTTATTGATGGCAATTTAACAGCAGCTAAGTATAGAGATGAGATCATCCGACCCCATGTTATCCCTTTCTTACAGCAGCATAATCTAACCCTCCAACAGGATAATGCTAGGCCCCACGTAGCAAGGATTTGCCAAGTCTTTCTGGCCAATAACAACATTCAACCACTAGATTGGCCGCCATATAGCCCTGATTTGTCCCCGATCGAGCATCTTTGGGACCAGTTGGATAGACAGGTGCGAAAGCGCCAGCCACCCCCTGCTACTCGAGAGCAGTTGACCAGAGTTCTGAATGAAGAGTGGGACAACATCCCCATAAGACGGATTAACGCTCTCATGAACTCTATGACCAGAAGAATAAGGGCCGTGACCACAGCAAACGGCGGACACACAAGATACTGATGACTCAGTTCGATTTCAATTTCAAAATCCTATGGGTCCATTCAACTTAATCGTTAGTACCTCTAAACCAATTGTCAGATGCAAAATACAGACTTCGGAAATTTTTAAGCTTTAATTTATCTGTAAGTATACAAAATTTCGTTTTAAATGAAGCCCGATATCATACTTAATTTCTGGTTTAAAGTTCACCCAGCGTTTCTTTATCCTTTTAGTATATTTAGAAAAGTGAATTATAGAATCGCACTGCTGTTCAATAGAACATCACGTCGTGTGCACAGATGTGCGATGGCAATTTCTCCTGGATTTCTAATGTACGTACATCGTGTATAAATTGTGCGTATTGTACACCGTATAATTATGTACAATCTAACCGCTATATTAACGATTGTCATGCGAAAATTCGTTATTTACAGGTGATGATCTGTTGACATTTCGTGGCGGGTCATAACTCCTCCAATAAATCACAGTATCAAATAACTCCTAGTAAAGGGACCAGTGAATAATACCTCAATAAGCGATCATTGACACCCCACAATTAATATCTACAGGAGCTGTTACAAATAATAATCAATTCCGTAGATAAGTCGTGAAGAGACTCATAATTCACGTATAAACATAATAACTGTTTTGTGTACGTTTCCCTATACCGTAGGGGGTAATCTGGGTGAAACTAATCCATTTCTTCCGTAATGTGACGCAACATTCACAGATTTACGGTATTAGTCTTGGGATTTCATTTCCAATAAGCCCACAGTTAATTTGATGACACATTTCGCACATTTGATTTGTCGCAATATTTCCACACGTGCAAATGAAATCCATTTAATACTCTATTCTGGAGACGAAATCAAAGATAAATATCACAAAGTTATGTACGAACTTTCTGATTACAGATCAGCTCCATCATTAATTGTGCCCATTAAAGTATGTATAAGTAAGGTCTGTTGTAAGAGCTTGGACATCTGTAATAATATAGAGTTAATTGTTTTCTACAGAATGAAATATCATAACAAGTGATGCTATTATGGTAAAGTACAAGAGCACCAACGCATTCCCTAACCTGAACTGTGAGTGATAAAATCAGTATTGTTGTTCTGCATTCAATCCAACATATCCTTTTCCAGTTACAAGTATGTCCTGTGATAACAGTTGGTCTAACTGGTATTAAAGTTCGACTGGGTATAACAGTTATAATATAACTATCAGTGTTCTTCCTAGATTTACATGGTTTCCGACGCTCAGAGAATACATCTCATACATCTACAATCGTATATCCTTACATGTCCAATATATAAATACATTTATACAACATTTCAGTATATCTTTTCTTATTAATAGAGGTTGATAGCAGACAGCAGTGACATGCACGAGCCGTATGCAGCCTTACCCTGACAAATATCAAGGAGAGAGGGAACACAAGCCTGATCACTCGGAATGTTTGTTGCTCTGAAAATTATAACCGGGTGATTAAACATACAGCCCAATCCAGGTCCGGTTACAATTGGATGTATTATGTAAGATATTTCAGCCCCCTTTCAACATTTTTACTGACATTTGTACTGACACATGCTCATCAGAATCTTTGATTAGTACTGTTTTACTCTCTCGTACTGAAAGAACATGTTAAAAATTGTCATATAGTGGTACGTCATTTAAGAGATCATTCCCATCAAATAATTCCGCTGATGAGGTATATGCCTTAAATTAAGACAAAAAGAAAACAATTGTCCTTTTTAAGGACTGTTTGACTGATATATGAGATTTTGAAATGTTTGGTATCATAATTCATAACAGAATGTTACGAATTACTCTTCCAATCCATATTATGGTATAAATCGCTGTTTTCTTTATAATAGACGAGAAAGATTTACTTACGAAATACAAATCTGCATCTCAGAAATTAATTTTGAACTCTGAATTTTTAATTTTTGATTCTGGAGCAAAATCACAGAAAGCATTCAAATTGATTAAAATTGATAAGGGCAAATAGAAGTACTGTCCCACCAGTGGTGGTACTTCTGCTGCAGGCCTTGTGTTATAGTGAGAACTGGGACATATCCGCGGTAGACTAATAACCTGAGGAAATGATTACATTACCACGTGAAGGAAATCAATGGCTGTCCTCTCTAATCGGGACCAATAAATCAGTTGTTACAGGAATTTAATGACGACCATTATCTATCTTTAAATCTGAGGACACGTGTACCAGAGAATACATTAGTGATGTGTTACAATCCTTAAGAAAAAAACATGATTTATAGAAATACCGCACTGTCCAAGACCCAGATTTCTTTACATATTTTCCATTAATCATAATTGCTGATAACGGGCAGATCAGGTATCAAAGTGTCAAATGATCAAAAACAATGAAAACCGAACAGAGAGTTCAACTGCTTGATGGAGACAATATATATATATTTATAGTGAAAGGTGCTATTTACTTGTTTGCCTTTTGTATAATCGTCGAAATTGTTGGTGATGTATTTAATCTTCAGATATACGAAAACAATCAAATTTAAGGAATATTTCGGCTGGTACATCACCCGAGCTATCTGTTTCGACACAAACTATATTCATCGGTTGTCTTCACGGTGTCAAAATCTAAGCCTTATCATCACTGCCGAGTCTACGAAGGACGAAATAACTATATTCCGCACTTTATATCATCGTTTTGCTCTTCTTTGTCTAACGAGAGATTTGTATTGAAAGGTGTTATTCACTTGCTGGTCTTTTGTACAGTCTTTGATATCACAAGTAGTAGACTCCGCTAGTGGACTTCTAATGGATTGTAGTAACCTACATTACAAGATTAAATTCATTCGAATAGTGGAACAGTTCAGCCTATACACATGTACTTAACATTCTTCGGAAATTGTTAGATGTGAAATATTGAGAGATATTGACATTTCTTCCGATCAATTTTGATTATCCTCCGTCACTGCATAGGTTTAAGCATTTAATCCCCTAGCATCACAGTCGGGTCCTCGAATGTACTATCTATAGATCTGTATTAAAAGGCATTATTCACAAAACAGTTTTCAATATAAATTCAAAATTAGATACGGTATGAATGATTTAAACTGCATCATGCAGCTGTTTAATCCTTCTTTGACTAGTCTGTCATGGTAAATCCTACAAGTTTGAAACCCTGGGGTGACAGAAATATAAAATGAAAATGGTCGACATATATGTTTAAATTACGATGGTGAGTTCTACTAGCCAAATAAATCAAGTATGTCTTCAACCTGATTATTGAGTGGTTATGAAGACAGCAAGGTTATATCTGTATTTCCTAAATATTGTCACTATTCTAATGAACTAAAACGTGGGATACAGGTAAGAAGAAAAAAAAAGAAAAAAAAAAAAGAGTTTTGACAAAGTTCTTTTGACGCATTTGTATTGATAAATACGCTATTTGCACTACATATTATTGGAAAAAAAAACAGTATCGAAATCTCAACAGAAGTCCAATTCAAATTCACACCCAATCAACTAGGACAAAATATGAGCAAAAGACTGTTAACACGCGTTAGCACGCAGTCCCCAGGACGACATGCAAGGGAAATAAGGAGAAGGAGGGGTAAGGTATGTAAAAGTACGTTATGTCACTTTACCAGATGGAAATAAGGAAAACAATTACGGAACCATCAGGCATACTTAGGACTATGAAACATGTCCATCATCATATTGCACCAAGAAACACAATAAATAGAGTGAGATTGTTTCGACGACTGTAAATATTTGCCTTTCATCTTCACTAACCTGCATCTCTCGAAACCCTGTGTTGTGGGTTTGTCCGTCAGTTATCAACATCTTGCACGAAAATCATGACATTGATAACACTTCCTTGAAAACATATTCTGTATACCGACGTCAACACAAATTGCCTGAACTAGATTTTTTATCTTATTTTAAACGTAATGTATTAACAAAGGTATTAACACCGATATTGTACGACTCATGGAATTTTTAATGTGCATATATTTTGCTATAACATCAGAATTTTAACATTTATACGGAGACTGGAAAACGTACAAGGAGAATAAGATCAGGTGTTTCGGAAGGGTAAGTGTTTTCCGCTTCATCGAATACATCCGTCATGTTAACCTTGGTGAAACCAATTTAAGCAGCAATGGAACCACCGGGTAGTTAAACAAATTAAAAAATGTATCAAATTTCAGTGCCGCCAAAACCGTTTAAAACACTGGTATTTTTGTTTTGTTTAAGGCAATGCCATCCGGTAATGTCAAACAGTAATTTCGTGCAGATTTGATATTTTGCCACCATAATCACAATTCACTACAAAAATGTACGATGAACTAAAATTGTTTCTACATAATAGGTTATCAAATAGAGCATGATAATTCTCTGTATTTTTTCACGAGGCAATTCCAACAGATTACCCATAATGCAAATCATTTCAAACATATCATACACTATGTGTTTTTAAGATAGTGCATGTAGCAAGATGTATCAAATAAAAAGGTTAGATGCACTTAACAAAATTATTATTTTTAAATTGGTCCTTTTTAGTGTTAGTATTGATGTTTGGTAAACTTACTTGAAAATTTTCCAAGGTTATAGCATGTTCTAGTCAGCGTGGTATACATTTCAGGTCCGGTGCGGATTATCAGATCTCCAACTCCGCTTATGATTGGCATCTTTAGGTACTGGGCTAGTCTTCCGACAGCGTCCAAGGACTGGGAACATGCTGGTCCTATGACCGCCTGTATATTTTGTTGATAGGCCAGTTCTGCGTAGTGTCCGATGGTTGTCTGGCGTGGACAGGTCCCCTCTGTGTAGTTGTGTACAAAAACATTATACTTTATACCATAGCGAGCCTCTGATTGCTCAAATGCTATATCAAGTGCCGGCCCAATGCGTCTCAAATCGAAAGGTTCCGGAGCACTTGTCATCAAAAGAACTCCAACTTTGACTTCAGTGACTGAGGAATATGAAACAGATATTTGTAAATATATATTCAGTAGAATATAAAAAGTCGATCCCATCGTTGTAAATGTAATTCAAATCAGAAGTCTGTGTGAACAGTTTTCATGTCTTTCAAATGCAGCATACTGACGGATTCGGACCTCGTGGTCTACATTTAATGATGAAGGTGGTTCAGCCCGAAATTTGATTTGGTAAACGTAATTCTATGAATTAAATGAGCGTTTAGTATAGCACAATGAGATATTGTCTCCAATACGGCAATACAATCTACCATTATGTAATCAATATGTGACAGATTCAGAAGTAACACTTTCTTGTATGACAAAGAGGTCATCATTGCATGACGTATCAGTATCACAGTATTGTCACACTTATCTTCCTTTCGTGCTCAATGTATCAGGCTGGATAACGTAACTACATCTAATGAAACATTCACAAGCTGTTGATTTCATAAAGGAAATAGACAACTATTATAGATTATCGCCATCAGCGGATTAGCCGGTTATCGATTTCATGATATTAACATCGAAATGAACACGTGTATGTATATATGCATTTAGCGCGCGATTTTCTGATGGAACAGCAAAGAATGGAAACAATTAGTGATGGGATATTGGTTCAATTAATACAATAGACATTCGGTAACAATCTCCTCCAGTCGATAATGTCCCGAACAATCGACAACTAATTGACAGGTGATTTATTTGCGTGGAAGTATCTTCATTCCTCTTTTGACCTCCCGTTTATTGCCTACGCCATATTTCGGTCTATTGTCTAGCATGGTGTCCTCGTATACTTCGGTTATTAACTTTTCTCTGTTGTAGTACATGTATAAGGTATAGCACGTATTCATGTTCCGTTACCATTACCGGAAGTGGGTCCGTATACCGGAAGAAGAAATGTATAACAATGATTAAAATGTTAGATAACATGGCGTGCTGAAGGAAACAATGGCTGATGTTCCCACACAAATTAAATCGTGTCAATTATTAGTTATCAAATTGGAGAAACCGTAATGGGTATTCAGACCCCTTAGTTCGGGTTGGCATGACAACGTCATGTTTACAATATTGTCTGTCACATTTGATTCCAAGAATACAAACTTTTTTCATTTATCATCTTCAAAATTCTTGTTGTATTTTAGTTGTAAGACGAGGATGGAAAATAATGACGTACACAAGTCAAAGAGGTGATTTAAGGGATAAATGATAATTTGTCTTATCTCTGTTTTAAATTCTGTTGTTTCTACAAGTTACACAACAACTGATCTACATATCGATTCAAAAACAGAATCAATTTTATCTACACGTGCATTCATTAAACAGGCGTCACACTGAAATTCATTTCGAAGTGATATAGAATTCTTAAATTGGAAGCGCGATACCTTTATGTTATGTGGAGTTACGTGGTTTGGAAATGCTTTGCCGTTTGATCACTGAGTATTAGTTTGGTTAAAACAACAGTTATGATTAGTGTAGCTGTTCCTTGATTTTTACAATAGTCAGCTTATAAGATGTTGATTGATACTTCTAGGAATGGCGATAACTAAAATGTTTTAGAGAGTGTAGAACTTGTCGACTTCCTTTAATGATTTAAATGAGTATTATCTCATCGTGTCGACAATCCTCTCACACTGGCATATTTTAAACAGATAGCTGTACAGTCTCTTACTTCGAATCTATTTTAATTGTATTGTCGTTCATGATAAAGTTGTTAATATCATTTGTTATGACTTAGAGACCTTTTTATTTCGACATTGAGGACAACAATGTTGGACCTGCTCTTGGCCATATCTTTCCTCAAGATTTCCACCATAGTTGTTACAATAATAATAATAATAACACAATCCAAACAAACAAAAACCTGTGTCGTCATAATATGATTGTAGAATGGGACAAAAGTAGACAAGATTTGTCGCATTGTAATCTCGATGTAAGGGTTATTTATCATGTGTTGCTGTAAATATGTTTTGATATTTCTTCTTAAATAGAAATAACGTATATAAACGTTTAAAACACTAGCTGTGGTAAGATGGCAGATAGTCACTCATTTCAATGTAAAGCTACACTCTGTCGCGTCTATGACGACCGCCTTTAATACACACTCTTGGGAAGCCTTTCCACGGCATGATACTGCCTCCCCCCCTCCCCCCTCTTTTTTTTAATTTACAACATATATTGAAAACCATATGATCATTTTTCACTAATTATTCCAAACTAAAATTTTTGTATTGTTTCAAAACCATTTTCGGTTCCATCATTATGCATCCATCATTACTGAAAATGATTTCTTTATTCGTTTGTTTGTATCAAGTAGCACATTCAACGTAGAATATTTTCCTTTGCTTTGTCTCTAGATGAAACATAGAATGATCTTACTGATCCAAATGTTGTCTGTTTCAATCGACATTTACTTATAAGTCATACTCAGTACTCATTACATACACCGGTTGTAAATGCGGGATGTTTGCTGACGTCACCAAATTTTAGGTAAACATGTTTTAAATGACAATAGTCATGTTAGACATAAAGTTATTGTGTTAAATGTAGATCAGATTACAAAAAAAGTGTATATGTAAATAATAAAAAACATCACTTTTCCTGATGTTCACGTTGTCAATGACGCCAGTGTGATGGCGGCACCTACTGACTAAACTTTAACGTAAACTTTTTAGTAGCTTTATCTTGCCAACAGTTTCGTGAAATAAGGAAGCAAATGAACAAGTAAACGAAAACGCTCCAGATGTATAGCCCTTGGGATTTCGTTCAGCATGTTTTTGGAATGAAGAGGACCCGGTTTTGTATTAACACATGGCCTAATCATCATACCGACCCAAAAAAGTAATTGACAGGTTTATCATCTTCAAGGCATCAAAGCAGTTAATTGGTAGAAATCCATATCTAAAAACATACCAAAATGGCGAACTATTTTTTGTGCGTTTTAATTTCCATGAGTGCAAAAAGTGTCTTTCCAGCAAACTTTATTTACTGCCCACACGTCAGTTTTACCGAGTAACTGTCGCTTGAGTATAAAGACACTTTTTTGGATACGGAATTGATAGTGTTGCCAGTGTTATTTTCCTGTTAAATATGTCAATATAGATCGGTCCTCCAGACAAAAAGGAATAATACTTCAATTTTGTGTCCTGTTTCGCTTTCAGTGTAAGCATTCGCCTTGGCAGCAGGACACAACTAATTCGCTGTTTTCCTTAAATGTTTGGACATGTTTGAGAAAAACAGACACAGCAAATTAGTCATGGAAAATACACATCCTAACATGTAAATATATATATATACAAACGATAAGTATAGAACAATTGCAGTTGTAGTAGAGAAATCAAACTTGTGTGAAAAAACTGCATCTTTGTCTTGTGATATGCATGGTTACGACTTGAACAAATGTTTAGAATGCTAAAATATCGCCAATTACAACCCCAAACTACTCCTTCATTCAGGAACTTCCTTCTTATTACCTGTTTGAAAATGAACGATTTGTCATGATTTCAAAATACTCACGTGTCAGCAAAGCTTAACCTGGAACGGCTGTTAACCACGTTGACGAAGCTGCGCATGAAACAAGCCCGGTCATAGTTCGTCCTGTCATTTAATCAAAACCATTTAGAGTTTCTACCACACGTGACTATGGTGATTTATAGAAGGACTAAGATTTAAGTGACAACCACTAATTAATTATAGCAGAAATTCCTATACATTTCACTGGTAAACGACATAACTTCCAGGTAGTGTATTGATTTGTCAGAAATGAAATGACAAGAAAATGTTGAAATGTGTTTGGTGACTAAGACAGAACTGTTCAATGTTTGTATCCTATATATATGTACTACGAAAATTATCCAAAACATATTGAACTCATCGATCGAAGACCTTCGGCAAGATGTTCAGTGATTTTTTCTCAGATTTAAACTCATATGATGTTTTAGAACAAAGCCACGGGATCTGTACCGGGGCATTTACATTGTCGATAACAGGTACATTGTGATTTTCTGAATATATAAGGTTTAACAATGCTCATTTAACTTGTTATATTATGTTCAGTTATTTATTTGGATTCGAGATGAATTTAAAAAAATGTTATGGAGCTTCCGTCTAACAAATGCCTGTAGTGAATAAAGGGTAGTAACTTCCGTTGTCATACCATACCTAATGAACTATGTTTGTAACGTGAAGTGCTGGTGTACCATCACGTTCACTAATTACTTACTAATCGATACCGGAAAACCAATATTCCAGCACAGAATGACATTATTTTAAGCATTGAACTGCCTTGCAATGATATAATGACAGAGCTTTGCGAACTCTATAAAAACAATTACGATAGCTGTGACGTTATTTGTAAAACGGGCATATCTAATGCCAAAAGAAAACATAAATGCCCGTATTTAATTTCCATTTTGTTTCCTTATACCGATTTTCACTTGATTTAAATATTTTCAACGATGAATCCGTCAAATGGAACAATTTTGGACAGCGAATCGTCACCGTTTCTATGGGAACAGTCATGACGTCACATCAACCTTGAATTGGACGTTGTGTATTTGTTAGTCCCCTGATTCACACTTCTTCCTGGTATTAATTTATGGTGGTGTTGTCGAGTAAATGAAAATATTATTATGTCATTAGTAATACGTTTACCGTGAAAGACCGTTATTTTACATACACATAAGTGGATTTACACACTGTTCAACCAACAAGAATAGTCAGTTCTCATTAAAACACTTCATAAAAATCTGCAAATAAGCTTGATTTACTTCACGAAAACAAGATTAGTGCAAACTGAAGAACTCAACGAAAGATTTTACGAGGATTTTACGAAGATCTATCTAGGCACGAGAAATGTCATTACTGTTGTTTTTCAATCTTATGATACTGCCACCATGACGTCAATATCGAATTCATTGGTAATATTAAAGGAAGCAGTATTCTCATAAAATGTGTTACTTCTCTGTACGAGTGTAAATAATTTTTGATAATTTCGCAATATCAATCAACCGATCGAACTAAACCGCACAGAAGATCGCACATCGCACATTTGTGCGCAC